ACTTCCATGAGGCTAGTATCATTATACATCTTGAGTTCTCATATCATGAGATTTTTACTGGATTTTTTGTGAATCTTTCTGTTGCTGATTACTGAATGGAACAAAATTCATAGATGTTTCATCCATGTTGCCATTGAGAATAACAAGTATTTGTGTTTCTGCTGCTATCTGATCATTGTTATGATCCCAGCTGATGGTAATGTTGGGGGAGTCAGACCTCAGATTGAAACCTCACTCACTTGATCATGGATTTTATCTTTTCAATTTGTTTACCACGGGTTCAGTCGCTTAACATAATCACAAGAGGCTGTCAATGTACTTTTAACAATAAAGAAAAGCTAATTACGAAAAAGGAAAAGAACAACATAAACTATATTGGGCTGAACAAAAGACATTTGAGATGGTCTTATTAGAAATTAAAGATTCAACCCTTTATCATCAATAACCTTACAAATACTCAAACCTCAGTGAAGAGGGACCCTGTTTCACTTTCCACTTCCTTGTTCAATGGGTTCAACTGTAACTGGTTTCTGTCTCACAACTTCTGAACTCATTTGATGTTATTTCTTTAGTGTATGTCTCTTCCTGAAATCCTTAAACAAACTGTTAACACAGCTCACTCATTTCTTAACATGGTTTTGTTAAACTCTTCTTCTACAGCCTTCAGTTTTTTAGAGTTTTAAGTCTCTAACTGACATTAAGTCACTCAGAACTTCTTTTTTTCAGTCCTGACTGTTTTGAAAACTGCTAATTTGAACTGGTGATGTAACAGGCCTTATTTCTCTGAATGATCTCCTTAACAAAAAGTCAAGCAGGAGGCTACCAAGTGGAACACTGACTGTCCTGCAGCCATCTAATGGCCCATGGATAATTAATCAAACAGAGACAGGTTTTTCACACCTCAGGGCATGCGGTCAGTAGTCCTACAACTCTTTAGAATAGAGGTGTGGAACATCAAATTGGGATATGTTTTATTGCTTGGACCCTACCAGGTACCAAGCGTGCAGATGCCAGCGATGAGATGGGATTTAGGGTTATGCCAATGAAAGCAGGGCATCTTACGATGGTAAAATCTTGGCCAAGTCTCTGATGGACCCAACAATCCTGTTATGGAGGAATCTCTCCTGCCCAACACCCGAGCATGCAGCAGAGAAAATTGCCAAGCTAGCCACCAGATGTGGGTCTCAAGAACCACTGGTTAAATGCCAGTTGTGTGTAGGATGCTAACTGAGAACTACTTACACAAGGGCTTCAATTAACGAATAGTTACCTAATGTCAGTAAACCATTTGTACAAAAGGTAAAAACCTGAAGCATTGTTATATCATAGAGCTCAACTACTGTTTGGAAAAACTTCCCAAGTATTCAGTTCCCAAATGCTCAGCTAGACTGCTTTAACACATTGCCTAGGAGAGAAAACTGGGACTACTGTTCTACCTTCATTTTATAGGTCTGGGACTGGGGCAACGGCAAGGGTTAAAGTTAATGGCCAGTTTATTGCCAGAGTCCAAAATTTTGGATTTACTGTTACTAACAGAGCACATTTCTCATGTTTAACTGATTTATTGCCTGCAGTGGTAGTGGTGGAGATGTCAAGGTGCCATGAAAGGATGGAAGCATGGGAATATGGAAAATCAACAGTAGTACAAAAACATAACTGAAAAGAAGAAAATCCACTAACATTACCATGCGAGATGCAATATAAACCACAGAAGCTGTTTTATTGGAGGCTTCAGCTGGTTAATGTATTGAATAACTGAGCCACAAAGAGTAGGAAGGTTCTGGATTTAGTTTCTGACTATTTTGAATTAGAAACTGAGAGTGGTGGGGATGCAGGAATGATTTTATCCCTCCCAAGTAATAGAGAAAGAAAAAGACCTCCAGGAATCCACAATGGCCCAATAGCCTTAATATTGACTTCACCAGCTACAAAATCCTTCCACCTCCAGCCTTATCCCATGTCCAGCCATCCAGCTCCTTCTCACCTCCCTGACCTGACCTAACCTGTCCAACTTCCTACTCACTCCGCTCCACCCTTCCCACTGACCAATCACGATAACTCCCTACCTGCATCCACCTACCACTATCCCACCTACTGTTCCCCCAGCCACACCCCTCCCCTATTTATTTCTGGGCTCTCCTCCCGTCTCCAGTCCTGACAAAGGGTTTCAGCCCGAAACCATGACTTTCCCGCTCCTCGAATGCTGTCTGACCTGCTGTGCTTTTCCAGCATCACATCTATTGATTCCAGGAATCTGCCTTGTGCAGTGATTTCTGAACGTTGGACAATGACAAGATTTAAGACACTCTGAGGGGCAAATCTGATGAGTCATTATCTTGCCCTACAATTGAAGTATGGTTACTTGAGTAAAATGTTGGATGAGATCTAGCACATGTGTAATTGTACCATAATATGGAGCCAGAGATAGTAGGAACTGCAGATGCTGGAGAATCCGAGACAACAAGGTGCAGGGCTGGATGAACACAGCAGGCCAAGCAGCATCATAGGGGCAGAGAGGCTGACGTTTCGGGCCTAGACCCTTCACCGAAACGTCAGCCTCTCTGCTCCTATGATGCTGCTTGGCCTGCTGT